GGTGTGGGTGGTTGGAGGAGGGCTAATGTTTCTGTCTGTGTGGGTGGTTGGAGGGTGTGGGTGGTTGGAGGGTGTGGGTGGTTGGAGGAGTGCTAACGCTTGTGTTGCTGGTGTTGCAGGTGGAGGGTTGCTATGACATCAACTTGTTGGCCTACTCCTGAGACCACTTCCTCACGTGTGCCAAGTGAGAACGGAAAAATGCTGCCGTTCCTCGGAGCTGTTGTCCATGTGTGAGCCTCGGTGGAGCAGAGGACAGATTGTGTGCATGAGTCATGTTGTTCTAGTGGCTAAAGTGAGGCATGCTGACAAAACGAGTTACTTCTCGCAATCCACAAATGGAGATATTGGCCAAAAATCGACATTAGGGTCAAATTTATAGATTTTCTATTGATGCCATATTCTTTAGCCATAACCTGTCTTTTATTATTTCATACTTCTAAACTGTAAAAACTTCAGCTATAAGCGTGATGTATCTATTTCCTTAAGGCTTGGGTCCCAGAAGTAACTCATTTTGTCAGCACACTTCCCATTTCATCTGACGCCAACTGTGTGTCGGGTCACAAAGGTTTATCTCACTTGTCCAGCTGTGTGTCGGGTCACAAAGGTTTATCTCACTTGTCCAACTGTGTGTCGGGTCACAAAGGTTTATCTCACTTGTCCAGCTGTGTGTCGGGTCACAAAGGTTTATCTTACTTGTCCAACTGTGTGTCGGGTCACAAAGGTTTATCTTACTTGTCCAACTGTGTGTCGGGTCACAAAGGTTTATCTCACTTGTCCAACTGTGTGTCGGGTCACAAAGGTTTATCTCACGTGTCCAGCTATAACCATGTCCACCAATGACATCAGGTTGTGAAAATGTCCTTGACCCTGTCCACTCGGCCAAATTGTGACACTTGCATTTGGCCAGTGTGGGGTAGTGGTGGGCGGTCAGGAGATAGAGATGAGACAGATTGTAGTCATGTTTCTGGGACTGTGCAAGCAGTAGTACATTCCTCCAACAAAACTCTGTTGTGGCTACTATTGTATCCCTTGAGTTGCAAAGAGTTTGTGTTTCTCTACAAAGATTCAAAGAGGGGAAACTCTTCCTGATGGCTGTGAGGTGTGTGTGTTTGTGTTGTGACTCTCAGACTGGGGGGAGGGGAGATGTGGGGACGGGAGTTTCTGTCAGGGAGACATTTGCTTTTCTGTTTTTCCCTGATTTACTCGACATTATTCCTAGTTTGGTATTTCTGTTTTGGGTCTAAAACTAGAGTTTTCCGTCGATTCCTAGTTGCCTTTAAGGCTGCAATAGGGACAGCTGGTGCACTGAGTTATGTCAAGAATTGTCATCTAACACATTGTCGAGCTTTTGTGTTATTCATAAAAGAATTACATGAAAAGTATGAGGCACCGTTGGTTTAGAACTGAAGTCTGTGGAAGATAAGAATACATGTGAGTAGAAGGAAAGATATTGGAGAAATGTTGTGTTTCTTCTGAATGGGAACATTGGAATGTTCTTAAGTCAAGAAAGAATTGAAATTACTTGTCCAAATGTACAAATTATCGTAGCTTGGGGAATGAACATATGTGGCCCGTATAGTATTATGTCCTATTTTTAGCTCAATGCAAGTGCTTTTTTTCTTCCGTCTCTTCCTGTATCCTTCTATGTGAGCCATTTGCTGGAATCAGGCGCTCCTCAAAATTATGAAATCAAAGCAATCGACGGTTTTTTTTACCTATTGGCAATTTCTTTCCAATTTTCTTTTTTTGGTGGAACCCCTTTTTACCCATTGACAAACATTTCTGTGTGGATTTACTGAACAACCTTGACTACAGGCACACACATGATTGACTACAGGCACACACATGATTGACTACAGGCACAAACATGATTGACTAAAGGCACACACATGATTGACTAAAGGCACACACATGATTGACTAAAGGCACACACATGATTGACTACAGGCACACACATGATTGACTAAAGGCACACACATGATTGACTACAGGCACACACATGATTGACTAAAGGCACACACATGATTGACTAAAGGCATACAAATGATTGACTAAAGGCACAACAAATGTACATTTTCAGTTTCCGAGGACTCGCAGGCTTGGAAGTTTCCAAACTGTGGCGGCCATTTTCTCCCTACTGTTGCCTCTGAAACCAAGTGACCCTGACCTCCTTCAGTCTCAAATATTCGGACTTCTCTTCAACATAAATGGATGGTTTTCTTTGACCTAAAGTCTGAAGCAAGGCAAAGGAAAAGACTTTAAGTTTAAGATGATACCAATAACCTCATATGGCCACAAATTGCCGAGCGCCTGATTCCACTGTGTGGTGTGTGGTGCCGAGCGCCTGATTCCACTGTGTGGTGTGTGGTGCCGAGCGCCTGATTCCACTGTGTGGTGTGTGGTGTGTGGTGTGTGGTGCCGAGCGCCTGATTCCACTGTGTGGTGTGTGGTGCCGAGCGCCTGATTCCACTGTGTGGTGTGTGGTGTGTGGTGTGTGGTGTGTGGTGTGTGGTGTGTGGTGTGTGGTGCCGAGCGCCTGATTCCACTGTGTGGTGTGTGGTGTGTGGTGTGTGGTGCCGAGCGCCTGATTCCACTGTGTGGTGTGTGGTGCCGAGCGCCTGATTCCACTGTGTGGTGTGTG